CGCCCCCAGCCCCACACCCGCAGCTACTCCGGTCCCATCAGTGGTGGGTGTGGCCCCGGGGGGGCCCGGGGTGGGTCCGGGGTGGGGCACAAAACCCATTTTGGGGGTTTAGCCCACGTGACTGCGCACCCCCCACTACTTTTTTATTTTTTTATTTTTTATTTATTTATTTATTTTTTTTGTGGGGGGCCGGTCCGGAGCCGGGGTCGAGGGTGCCCAGCCCCGGACCCCCCCACCCCCGCCGGGGTTCGACAACCCTGCCCTCCATCTCTCCGTCTCTCTCTTTCTTTCTCTCTTGTTCCATCGCCTCTGTTTACATAATTGATGCGTACCATGTTAGATTCCAAGCTTTATAATGAGCGGCTTTGAGATCTTATTTGAAAATGAGATCCCACAAGCGTACCTTTGCCCTTCCACTCTGAAAGACGGCAGGTAGCCCATATGGAGGTTCAACGATACTGAATGGATGTCTGAAAATTGCACGCGTTTGTCCCCTTCCCGTGTAGCGATGACCATTTCTCACTAATTTAGACCAGAACCACGCGGGGGACTCTAGTAAGTTCAATTTCGTTTGTGTGCCCACACTCAATTTCCTGAAAATCCTTGGCACACCCCATTTTGCTGTCTTCCGGGGCCTATTCTGCACAACTTATTGCGGCAGCACAGGGCGTGAGGTTAGAACGCCACACTTGTCTGCTGCCAAAACGGCACACTTGCACATATACACATGTATAGACATATATTTTTATAAAGTCCATAACGGGATGGAGGGCAGCCACCCAACTCATTTATCAACCCAATCCCCTCACTCACAGGTCTGAAAAGACTTGGAGAGCCTTCCACATCGGCCCCCGAAACCCAAAACTCATTTATCAAAAACAAACAAATATAACAGCATTGGCATTCCCGACATTCATCTCAAACTACACACTCGCATCACTGCCAAAGAGGAGGAAAACGATAAGAGACAACTTAACTAAGACAAAAGGTTCCTCCAGCTAGAACGCACTGACCCTCTCTGCTAAGGGTCCGAAAAACAGGGAAAGCCTTTCATGCAGGTCCACAAAACATACATTCCCCCTAAAGAGAACTTGTGGCCACCTGTAAACATCCGGTGTGTGTGTGTGTGTGTGTGTGTGTGTGTGTGTGTGTGTGTGTGTGTGTGTGTGTGTTGTGTGTGTGTGTGTGTGTGTTTTGAATTTTCAGTACAACAGCCCCTATTCCACCCAGATTAGCAGTTCCAAAATCAAAGCATATTCAATCCTATTGCAGACAAGAAAAACCCTTGAGTTTAAACAATCCAACAATGAAACAGTTCCCCCTCTATAGCAAGTAACATGGAGTCTAATAGAGGCATGTAGACCCCTTTCTTAATTGTGTTCACATTTGCTTTCTTTGGGGTAACCCTTACATTTGTTCTTGCAGCTCCCCCTACATCGTACCTCTTATGTACGAGGCTCCCCACGTTCATTGTGGTTGAGCGCGAGCTGCCCACATCCCCCTGTGCCATAACGGCCCACTTGCACTGTTGCACCTTTTGAAAGGATGCAGAGCAAAGGCGGAGGTATATTCCTATTAATTTCTTCTCAGATCTTCAACTTATTTTGCCTGTTCCCTTAATGATGCTTCTTCTTATGCATTACTAGTAATACACAACTGGAAGGAAGAAAATGGGAGGTGGAGTTCTGACAGGGTTCTAAATAGTGACCGCTGGGGGAAACGACTCTAGAATGGCACATGAGGACAGTCAGCGTATGGGTTGGCATAATATTTGAGTAGTCGTTGCCTATGTTACGTGGCCACCTCTACAGACCGGGCACGAGTGTGTGTGCGTGACCAACACGGCTACCGCCTATTTCTGCCATTACCCAACAGTTAGCAATCCTATCTGCTAAAACAAACTCCATTGACCATTTCTCATCTTCCTATGCCGCGTTGGGTTTGCCACAATCCTACCGCTCCTATTCTCTTTTTCTTTGCGGTTGATTGATTTGCAATGAACCAAAATTCAGAAGCTCACAACCAATTCGGTATCGTTCTGGGATACACATGAGGCTCCAACCAAACATGGCAAACAAAATGAGTTAGCGTTGAAGTTGAAAAGACTTTGTCTGAAGAAAGTAGCAAGTCTTGCTCTTCAAGTGCGGAAATAGGTTTGACAGTGCAAGCCATGAGTACAGTATTTGTCGAAATTGCTCCGCCATGAGTACAATATTTGTCCAAATTGCTCCTCCCTCTTCTTCATCGGGACGACTCTTCTCTTGCTACCCCAATCGATCCTCTATACACTAGTACAAATTTTCAAATTGCATCTTTCAACTCCTTCCCTTCTACCAAACGACACACAATATCACTCTTCAAGACAATCTCTCTCTAGCACTCACCTACCAATTGATCCTCTATCCACAGGTAGAAACTCCCTCTTCTCCCTCGGGACGACTCTTCTCTTGCTACCCCAATCCATCCCTCTATACACTGGTACAAATTTTCAAATTGCATCTTCCACCTCTTTCACTTCTACGAAACGACACACAATATCACTCTCCAAGACAATCTCTCTCGAGCACTCACCTACGAATTGATCCTCTACCTACAGGTAGAAATGTTCAAATTGCATCTCCCAACTCCTTCCCTACCAAACGACACACAATATCGCTCTTCAAGGCACTCTCTCTCCAACGCTCACCTACCCAAGGCTACCTTCTTCACCGGAATAGAACGACTCCTCATTGTAGCTGTAGGGCTCCTCTGCAGCAACTCTGGCGCAACACTCTCCTGGTAAGCTTCCCCCCCTCCCCCAGGATTTGGACTGAACCTTATTTCTCCGCTCTTCTCTCTGAGCGGACACTCACACGAGAACTTTTTCAACAAAGCTCTGGATGCCATGGCAGTCAGATTCATCCAGTCAGATGACTTTTGGAAAGTGACAGACTAAGTGTGAGTATGCTCCCACTCTCATCTATGGTGCAGCTGCACCTCTTACTGGGGATGACTACGTTTCTCTGGCACTCTAGCTATGGCAGCCTCACACTAAGTGTCACCCTCTCCTGACCATCTTCAGTCAACCAGTCTTGACTGTGACTTTCATAACGATGTTTCTGCTCAGGGTCTGAACTCGGATCCTCCTTGCACATTTGTTCATTTTCCCCATTTTGGACAGTTTTAGTTATAGCCATACACCACCACCATGTTAGGCGCTCCACCTCACACATCGAATCCGTTCGCAGGCCTCAACCAAGATAACATCCCTGTAATAGTTGGGGCACTCCTCGATCGACCTGACTCTGTGATTAGCGTTGGCGACGTTCAATCCGTCCCTGAGGGATATTCGAGAGCCTGCAATGGCAAGGTGCTCAAGCGAAGGACACATATGAACCAGCTTGTTCACCAAGCAATGACACAAATCCGGTCAATCAGCGGGATAAGAGATTGGGACATGCGCTGACGAAAGACAGGAACTCTTCCTCAAAATCACCGTAAAGAGCTCTAGGGTCCGAAAATAGGTGTAGGCTGCGTAAGAACGGACCTATTTGCGAGAGGCAGTGAAGGAAAGGCCCACAGCACTGCCAAGAGGGAAGCCTAGGCTCCCAATTACTGTGCTTTAAAGTCTCGCTTTCAAGTTCACTCATCAGTACACGGTCACCAAACAAGTTGGCAGTATTACGTTCCCTTCGCAGCTGCGCAAGTTTGACCTTTCTCCGCAGCACGCCTTGGCCCCACATCAACTCCATGCGCTCCGCCTGCTCCATATCGATCAAGGGGTCGAAGACCTGCATACCTACCTCCTTCAAGAGTGGATGGCGCTCCAGAAGCACCCCTAGACTTCTTAGCGATTCCAAGGAAGGGTAGGAGGTCAATCCTCCTCCAACCCGCGATCCATACAGCAGATGCATAGACAGACTGGATCCAATAACTTTGGAGGTTCCCCGGGCAAGATAAGACAAGGCCTTGTGTGTGACGCCCGTCTCGTCGAAACACAGCTCACGCAAGTGCCGCCCACTTTCAGCGGCCACAACTCTCACTGCTGCATCGGTGACGTCTCTACAGCGAGACGCTGCCAGTGTTTCCGGGTCAGAACAGGCCCGCACTGCTACAATTATCCCCCAGTTGAAGACCCGCGTCCCGCTCACGTTGAGTTTCCTTAAGCCGACGCACTCTGACACCGCAATCTCGAGCTGAGAGTCGGCGAAGATTTCGCTATCGATCACACACAGACAAGTCAGGCTGGAGTGAACAGTGCAAAAATGGAGAAGCCATAAGTCTGGTCGCACGTGTTGGTCACCCCGCAAAACGGCACCTGACCTCAAGGATAGAGAAGATAACTCAGGACAACCATCGTCTAGAGCCTCAATCGCACAAGGAGAGAAGCCAAAGAGACCCAAGTGCGTCAAATGACGCCATCCGGAGAGGGCACGGATCATTGAGCGATGGTATACCATGAAAATTTTCATCCCCCGTAAGGGAGTGTCTATGGTGAGGGAGAGATCGGTCAATCCAGGGCATCCATTGACTAAGGCAGTGACAGTTGCGCAGGCTGAAGGCGTCGGGATGGCCGGTGAGATGAAGCGTCTTCAAGTTTGGACAATTCTCCATGGAAGAGATACGTTCCTCCACACGCTCCTCTCCCTCTCGCTCTCCCTCTCCCTCTCCCTCTCCCTCTCCGTCTTCCTCCACCTCCCCCCGCCCCTCTCTGAATCCTTCCTCCTCATGCTGCCCCTGATAGGCCAGCTTCACGTCCACACTGCCTCCTTGCTCATCGTCCTGCTCCCCCTACTCCACCTGCTGCTGCCCCTGCTCAACCTGCTGCTGCCCCCCTCTGTCTCCTTGCTCCTCTTCCCCCTTCCCCTGCTCTCCCGGCTGCTGCTGTTGAGGAGCCTGCTGCTCGTTCCCCCCCCCCCTTCCTTGCTCCTTCTCCCGCTCCCCCAGCTGCTCCTCCTGTTGCCCCTGATGAGCCTGCTGCTGCTCGTCCTGACTGCCTCCTTCCTCCTCTATCCCTAGATCATCCACGCGGGCATTTATCCCCTTTGCGGCTCCATGATTTCAACCATCGCCATCAAGATCGCCATCTTCATCATGATTACGGTGATGTCTAAGCAGACCATCATCCAATGGACGCAAATCTTCTTTGGGATCGCCATCTTGATTTCCACCCTCCCCATCAGGATCGCCATCTTGATCATAATTACCATTGATCGCGGGAGGGTTCACTGCATCACCGGATTCACCGCGCTCGCCGTCGTCATCGGCGCTAGAACCTGCCCTAGCAACAGCATCACGATCAACATCTTCGTCCTCCCTGCTATCATGCATCGGGACCCCGACCAGCTGCCGCTCTTGCTCATCCATTTCATCTCCTTCATCTCCTTCATCTCCTTCATCTCCTTCATCTCCTTCTGCTTCTCCATAACTCGCCTCAGAAGAGGGGGAGGAGGATGAGGAAGAAGAGGAGGAGAGAGGAATAAAGGTGGCCGGAGGAGGGGGAGGCAGCCACATCGTGAAGGTAGAGTGTGTGGGGACACGATCTTCATCATCTTCCCCACAACCATAACTCCTCATCCACGACAACACTTTTCACACTGTTTTTTCTCTTCTTCCTCTGCTTCCTTCTCCTACGCTGCCATCGCTTTCTTCCTCCGATCCAACAGGATACAAGGGCCGATGTTTGCGTCAGTGACGATAGGGACGGCGCGGCAATAGCCACATGATGGACACGCCGTTGTAGTCCGTGTCAATCACAGAGTCATCCATCTCTCTTGCCAGTCCGTAATCCTTGGCCGGATCTTTCAGGTAATGTGATCGGATCAAAGCTGGAAGAGGAGGATCGGATCCAGGAGGATCAGATATAGTGGAAAGCCTAAAAGACTCCCGCGGGGTCAAAATGCTAATCTTTAAGTGTTCTAATCGCGAACATGGTTTCAATATTTTATTCATCTGCAGGTTCTAGTCACCGAGCACCGAGCACAGACCACAGTTCTAAACATATGAGGTTCGGTTGCCGTGCACAAACAGCCGCCACCGCCATGCTAGTACAGTACTGAATGATCAACGTCTCTACGCAGCCTCTGCTTAGCTCGCACGCCTTTGTTAACATTGCATCCACACGATCGGGAATCGAACTACCATGGAGAATGATGGTTTGGCCTCCAGGTGTGACGTTCAGCAAACCCCCCTGTGTTTCCACCCACTCCCTCGTGTCTGTCTCTCGAAAAGCATTCCCGTTGTCGGCTCACCCTCAACCACTGCCGACATACACAAGGTGCGGTCCAGATGCGATCATTGAGTGGAAGTTTAGCGAGAATGTTCTGTAGCACATCATCTCCCAGCTTCCTTAGTTCCACTCCCATCGGATCACGCTTCCTCACACCCTTCTATATCATTCTCTCTCTCTCTCTCTCTCTCTCTCTCTCTCTCTCTCTCTCTCTCTCTCTCTCTCTCTCTCTCTCTCTCT